GGATGCAATGCGAAAAAACTTTCCGAATGACCTAATAGAATGACTACAGTCAAACATAGAACAATAAATTACAATCTAATCCGTGCAAGCTTACAGAATTTTAGTATAGGGGTATCAAAGGGACGAACCGACAATTTTACTTACCTTCCTTTGCATGCTGTCGTGGATCCGAGAAGCCTCTGCCAGAAAACAAAGCTCATTTACGGGACCATGTGTATCTTGTAAATATAGACGAAAAGTTGAATACTGTCGTGCGTCTCGAAGAACCTGAAAACCGATGATTAACGAAACTGCGAAAAGTTCCAAATCAGGAGCGTTACCTCACTCAACCTCAAATGTAGCAGAGAGTCGGGAACTGTTTGAGAAGAGCTTTCGGCGAAATTTGTTAGAAACGTTACTTCCCTTTTCTAAAATGATTCCGCAATTCGCTGTGCAGATCTCGTAGACGTGAAAATATAAACTTACTTCATTCTCACTTCCATCGTGTGCTTCTTCTCCTTTCTTAGCATCAAATATCATGATGAGCAAATGGTTTATTGTGTCTGGGTCGGCCAGCAGATCCAAGCATGGTAAAAGCAAAGCGTTTACGACCAGTTCACGCAGAAAATGTCTGACAGATTGTGATGGCCATGCTGACTGGAAAACTCAGCTATGGACAAAATAGATCTATAACACAATTACAAAGTCTCAATTAAAAATTTTTCCAAAAATCACTTTCTTGAAGGGGGATTTCTGAAAAATGACAATGCAAGCATATACTAGCTCACCATATTCGCCTTTTCGCCAAAATTCGACGGACATTCGTCATCGTGTGCTCTTCCAGCAAGATGGGTATCGTCTACGAGTTTGGTAACCAGAAAATCAGCGACCTGCATAAAGAAAATATATAGGTTTAGAAAATAACGCTAATATTCACGAAAACAATATTTTTCATACCGAACTTGAGATCAACGGAAATGTTACAATTATGGCAAAATCTAATTTTAGACAAAAAAAGATGGAATCTAGTGGAATGAACGAAGTTGAAATTCTACTCATACAATCATGCAAAAAAACGTTACGAGAAAGCGACATCAACAAAAATCAACT